AAAGTCTCTTTTACCAAGATACTCAAAGACATTAAATCTGGGGAGAATGTAGAGAATTTTGAGTTATTGTTCATGCTGTACACACTTGGGAGTTTTCTAGCTCCTACCTCACAAACAACAGTGAGTGACAAGCTAGTAAGGGTGATGTGTTGTACTATGAATGGATTACATCGATTTGATTGGGCCACATACATTGTGAACAACTTGTGGAAAGAGATGGAAGATTATGTTGAAGTGTATAGAAACGTAGGGGAAGACAATGATGAAGGGAGTTGCAACGTCGGAGGATGCATTTACCTCTTATTGGTATGTATTTATTACCATTGTTTTTTTGTTGTATGTTTGAATCGAGTGATGATAAAGTTAATAATTTGATGTTACAGTTATATCTTGCTGAGCGCTTCCCATTATCTAAATCTGTTAGAGATAGGTCAATAAGTGCTATTCAATTCTGGACTGATGAGAGGATAAAGGAGATGACAAAGAAAGAAAGGCGAAGCAACAGAGGCCTATTGTATAAGGAGAAGGGCTCTAAAGTTAGGGTTGGAGATGAGGAGAGAACAAGAAGTGTCGCTGACTTACACCCGGTGTGTGCTTTGCTTGGTAATTTCAATGTGCATTAACAAGATAAAGTGTTTGATCTTTTTTAATAATGTGATGCAGGAGTTGCAGAGCTTACATCAAAAGTTGATGGCTGTAATTGATTTAAGCTACAAGAGACTTGTTAGTGCAGTAGAGGACGAGCTACATAAGGTACACATAACGATGGAGGAAAATCGTACTGTGGGAGATGAGGGCCCTAGTGAAGTTGGAGATGAATATAAGGGAGAAGATGAAGCTAATGATGGTGATGATAACGAGGGAGGTGATGATGAAAATGAGGGAGGTGATGATGATGGACAGGACTCAGGTCACGTACCTCATCATGGAGATGACTCGGACGAGGCCGACATGATTATGTTGAGGAAGAAGGAATACAAGTAGAAATATGGATTCCCTTGATGTTTCCCCCATGGACAAGAATGCACAGCCTAGGAGATCACAGAGGGAGGTGAAGTCGGCCATAAATTCTCCATGGATTTTGACAATGCTTGTTTTGAGGAAAAAGAGGAATATGGAGGAAAATGACAAGTTTTTTAACATGATATCCCGCATGTGTTCAAGTCAGGAGGGTGACATGTAAGTTACTATTTGCATGACTCTGAATGATATTACTTATCGGTTGTTTACTGATTAACTACACACATAATGATACTGGGAACACATTTTTAGGCCTTTAGTTAAAATATCTGACGAGGATATCACTCGAGATCAGCTAAGGACACTTAGAGGAATTGAGAGAATAGGTAATCGTGTAAGTTAGTATTGTGATCTTGGGCTGAGTACTATAATTTTTATATTTGATGCTCATGTATACCTGTGGGAAAAACTAAAATTTACTTGCAAACAACTCATGTCAGTTGTGTGCAAGACTTTACTGGCTGATATGAAGAGTGAAGGAGAAGTGAAGCGACACATATTTGATGCTGACTTTATGGTAAGGTTACTAAGATGTTTACAAAATAATTACTGCTACATGACTAATCATTCAATGCTGGAGGCAATACTAGCTGCGAACCCATCTCGGTGGGATGCTAGAAAATGAGAAAAGCAGTTTCTGCCTGAATGTGTCGGTTACAACATTGGAGACTGTGACTTGATATTTGGACCTACACTTGTTGGTGCTCACTGGTTTTGTCTTGTGCTTGAGCCTAAGACAATAAATTTCTATGTGCTGGACTCAATGAAGCCAAGTTTTTCTGCTAAGAAGAGTAAGAAGAAAGGTGCAGCTGATGATGATATGATGACTGTGGTCACTGGATGTGTAAGAATATTGTTACTGTTCTTGTGTAAGATGCCATTTGTTTACCAAATTATTTACAAATGCAAGTATGCGTTGTGCAGAGGGATCAATTTTATGACATGATTGAGATAGTAAAGCCCAATACCATTGGAAAGAAGCAGATGAGTGACATTATTTGGGCCTCTGTTCCTCAACAAAACAATCTGTGAGTGGTATTACTTGTTGATGTAATAATGTATGAATGCTACTTCGTGTTTCACTCATGGACATTGTTGCCATGTGCAGGCGAGACTGTGGCGTTCATGTTTTAATATGGTTGAGCAATGGGAGCCCGGTGTGACGCTTGACTACAGTGAAGAACATGTTGCTGATTTGCGATGAAACCTAATGTGGTGGCTTGTTAATCATGAGCTCAATTCAAGGCGTGAAGAAGCATTGAAATTGCTGTCATCCACAGATCCCACACCGAGGAAAAAGCAGCGGGCATCACGGCACTAAATTACGTTGTCTAAGTTTAATGATGTTTTAGTTAAAGTTATGTATGTAAGGGGATTTGCAAACTGTTTTCAGGGAATGTAAAGGTGCCTCATTTTCAAGTAATGTTAAACCATTTTCCCATAGTGTTACTACACATGTAACGAGATTTACAACTATCAAAGTGAATTTGACTACTTCTTCAAATGACTTGACAACCTGTTTTAAGAGGCAGGGCAACTTTTCTCAACAAGAACACAAATACCACGCTGAGTTTGACAAAACACATAGTGGGAATAACAACTTTTACAGTGAGTGTTACTAGTTGTTCAGTGGGTTTTCCAACCTTATGTTTATTGGGCTAGGCAACTTTGGTTTTAAAACAATACAACTTGGCGGTGAATTTTGCAAAACACATAGTGGGATTTACAATGTTCACAGTGAGTTTTACAACTTCTGTAATGGGTTTTGCAACCTTCTGTTTTTCTCTGGGCAACCTTTCTTTCACAAATCATACAATTCCACGCTGAATTTCATAAAACACATAGTGGGAATAACAACTTTCATAGTGCGATTTACTACTTGTACAGTGGGTTTTACATCCCTATGTTTATTGGGCTGGGCAACTTTGGTTCTAAAACAGTAGAACTCGGTACTGAATTTTGCAAAACACATAGTAGATGTACAACTTTCACACTGAGTTTTACAACTTCTGTAATGGGTTTTGCAACCTTTTGTTTTTCTCTGGGCAACCTTTTAGAAACCATACAATTCCACGTTGAATTTCACAAAACACATAGTGGATTTACAACTTCACAGTGCGATTTACTACTTGTATAGTGGGTTTTGCAGCCTTATGTTTATTGGGCTGGGCAACTTTGGTTTTAAAACAATAGAACTCGGTGCTGAATTTTGCAAAACACATAGTGAGATTTACAACTTTCACAGTGCAATTTACTACTTGTATAGTAGGTTTTGCAGCCTTATATTTATTGGGCTGGGCAACTTTGGTTTTAAAACAATAAAACTCGGCGCTGAATTTTGCAAAACACATAGTGGGATTTACAACTTTCATAGTGCAATTTACTACTTTTATAGTGGGTTTTGTAGCCTTATGTTTATTGGGCTAGGCAACTTTGGTTTTAAAACAATACAACTCGGCGATGAATTTTGCAAAACACATAGTGGGATTTACAACTTTCACATCGCGATTTACTACTTGTATAGTGGGTTTTGCAGCCTTATGTTTATTGGGCTAGGTAACTTTGGTTTTAAAACAATAGAACTTGGCGCTGAATTTTGCAAAACACATAGTGGGATTTACAACTTTCACAACGCGATTTACTACTTGTATATTGGGTTTTGCAGCCTTATGTTTATTGGGCTGGGCAACTTTGGTTTTAAAACGATACAACTCGGTGATGAATTTTGCAAAACACATAGTGGGATTTACAACTTTCTCAGTGCGATTTACTACTTGTATACTGGGTTTTGCAACCTTTTGGCGGGCTGGGCAGATTTTCTGCCCAGAACAATACAATTCGATGCTGAATTTTACCAAAAACCAGTAGCAATATACAGCAGATACATTACATATATTCAAATGACTGCACCTCAAGGACATCACGGTAAACATTGAACCATTAACTTTCATACTAACTATACGTGCAATGGAATGTACCATTCACGCAACAATATTTACCAAAAACCAGCAGCAATATGACAGCAGATACATTACATATATTCAAATGACTGCACCTCAAGTACATCACGGTAAACATTGAACCATTAACTTTCATACTAACTACACGTGTAATGGAATGTACCATTCACGCAACAGTATTTACCAAAAACTAGCAGCAATATGACAGCAGATACATTACATATATTCAAATAACAAGTTAACATTAAGATTAAACCAGCACTTAATGTTTTCTTGTCATTCAACCAACAAAACATATCCCATTTATTAAAATTATATGCAAATGTGATATCCTGTCTACTAACCCATGTACCAAAAAAGGTTAAGAAGGGTTCAAAAGTCATTCCATTTACACCAAGAAATCACCATATCTATTGACATCTAACTTCAACTTGGGTTTGGATTCTTGCATGTTCTTCTTGTGTGCCCAACTTGTTGGCATGTGCTACAATGGTAGATCTTCCTATTTTGGAACTGTGACTCTCGTCTTTTTATTTTAGGCCTTCCTGGTGGTCAATTAGTCAAAGGCGGTGCCAAGAACACTTGATTTGCTATATTTTCCACCCAGTAATTGTTAGGATTTGGCATGTCTACTGTCACCACTGGAATCATAGTCCTGCCATAAATCTTTTGTTGTGATGTAATCTTGTAGCATTCATCAACAAAATCATACACATTGCAATTCACAGCCTTAATAGCTGCACAGGCATGGGGACATGGAATGCCTGACATTTGCTAAGCTGCACAGGTGCATTCGCCTAGACCAAGATCAACATGTACAACTCCTTTTGCTGTATGGACACACACCCTACCTCCTCCATAAGGTACACTCAACATGCGTGCTGATCTAGCAACATTGTCCACCAATTTTGTATCTATGTTTGGGCCTACACCATTTTTCCAATTACTCATTGCTATGCTGCTGCATACATCTTCTTTGCCACTTTCTCACGATGCTCATGTATAAGTTGGAACATTATATCATCTCTCTTTCAACATCCAAGCATTGAATGACTCAGCAAGGTTTGTTGTGATGTTATCCCATTGTTTAAATGGGAATTTACTTAAGGCCCACCTTTCAACATCATCATGATTAAGAAGCCACTCAAATAATTGTGGATTGAACTTTCTCATGTTATCCATTGCACCATCAAACTCGGTGTCAAGCCTTGCATATGCAATGGCATCCAGGTATTGCAATCCCTCCTCCCTTGCTTTCCCACTAGTCTTCCTCTTTCCTCTATTTAATTTAATCATTTGTGCAATGAAGTTTTCCTTAACATGTCTGTAACAGTATGCATGCCTCTCACCACCAAATATTGCTTGCACAGCACTTATTATTGCATTGTGTCGATCTGACACAATTGTCAATTCCATCGACCCAACTATCTCCTTAATCATGTATAAGAACCATGTCCAATCCTCAAGTGTCTCTCCCTTTACAATAGCAATCGCAAAAGGTAACAATTCATTGTCAGCATCATAAGCAGAGGCCGACAGTAACGTCCCCTTATACGGTCCACTTAAATGACATCCATCAATGTCCAGTACATGTCTAGCACCAGCTATAAAGCCTTCTATACAACACCCATATGCTATGAATGCACGCTCAAATGTGTTATTAGTATTACCCACCCATTTGGCCACAGTTTTGTTATCTGTTTCCTTCAACCGTTCACATATCATGGAATAAGCATATAAGACTGGTCAGGCCTGCCATGTATGTCCTCTAAAGCTTTTTGCTTCGCCCTGTATGCTTGTTTATATGTCAACTTCACACCATAATCTCTTTCCAAACTCTTCCTTATATCATTTGGATGCCTGTCTATGTGATCATTTACCTCATCAATGATGATTGATGATGTCAAGCTAGCTGAACCACAATGTTCCACACGAAATTGTCTTGAGCATTATGAACATGCTCATTTATGAATGTTGCCACACGTAAAAAGGGAGTACTCTTTCTACCCACTCTTGCACTTATCCTCCACGGACAACCTTCAACACTACATTTCACATACATTTTTCCCTACAATTTTTCACATACTTGTACTCAAACTTGTTTGCAATACTGAACTTATGTACTTTCTTCTTGAAATCTTCTGCATTTGCAAAAGTCTGATTCCGTCCTAACAACAATTCCTTCCATTTCAAAGAATTCATCTCCGGCAAAGGTGTAGGTGCACTCACTACTCCGTATAGCAAGCTTACATTAGGTCTTTCACTGCCTCTAGAACTTGTACTTTCCAAAGCATTTCCCTCTAACGTAGGCTCATCACTTTGTTCTGACAGTCCTACCATTCTTGAGATCCTGCATTTATAATTACCACTGCTGTTAAGAGATTTACTACAATATTACAACAATTATCAACTTTCATAACCACAAAAAAAATTTCTCACTTACCCTTCTGGATAACCCATTCCTTCCTCCACATTGTTATTACCTTTATGTGCTATATAAATATGTGCATCACGGTCATTATATTCAAATAGATTATCAACTTCACCATCATCTATAAGATCTACCAATACCCTCTCATCAAAACTCAAAGTGTATTTAATATCACAGCCATGACAATCTATGCTGAACCATTCTCCTATCATTGCCCTCAAATCTTCAAGTTTTGTACCCTCATTTATTACTTTACTCTGACAGTCCCACCACAGTATTTAACTTCACCATCGCCATTTTCTACAAACTTCCCATCTACGTGAAAATAACAAGCAAGTCTTCTTGAAGATGTTGATACAATGTTACAAGACATCACCACTTGCTAACCTGCAGCAAACAACATTAAATAAAAAAAATTAACTTTGCGCGAATTAGTTTCCATCAACGTATGTGACATCTAAAACACACACACAAAGAGAAACTTTTCTTCTATTCGCAATTTTATTATAGGGTTTCACAACTCCATTATTGATTTTAACAACGTTCACCACCTGAATGCAAACTTCACACCTACGCAATTGCTTGCCACTTTTTTGATTTCCGTTACGTCATTCGAAATAGTCAATATAAAGTATAAAACCTCATCTCCAACACACCCGTCCCCACCATTGTTCCATAAAACAGCCACAAAAAAGAACTACCCAAACCCCACCATCACGTAATGTGACATGTTCACTCTCTCTCTTGCTACAAACCCTCTTGCCCACAACCAAAATCTATTAAATCAGCAATCCCAACAAAATGGTGATGCGGAGGAGTAAGATTATACCATTTCCTAAGACTACCGACTTAAACTTACCTCTTTTCAGCTTTAATGTGTTGCTCCAGCATTCCTCTTTCCTTCTTCACGTGCTGCTCAACCTGGTTCTATGTTTATTTTCTCATCATTTTCACTTCCTTTTACCTCACTCATCAGGGCAATTTCGTCTTTTGGCCAAAAATCTGAATTCCAGATTGGTACCCAGTCCCTTATTTGTCATTTTGCTTATTCAGGTGCCTTATTTGTCTTTTTGAAATTCAGGTGATATTTTCTTGTCATTTTCCCTTAAAATAACTTTTCAATTTTATTCTTATTTAATATATACATCTTTTAAAACATAACTATCTATTCCTCTAGTCTTATTTATAAATCTTTTTCAATTTTTCAATATGCTTTACACAGACTAGGAATAACTTTAAATTTCATTAAATTTCATTTAAAATTCAACAACTTTCTAATTTTATCCTTATTTAATACTCTCTCGGTCCTTAATATAGGACCTAATTGTTAAGTTCACTTTGGTCCTGAAATAAGACTTATTTCTCATATTTATCAATTTTTCCTAAATTACCTATGTGGATACTCCCTCAATCATAATCAAGTAAGTGTAAGACGGAGGATATTAAAAAAGATGATTATGGTATTTTAAAAAAAACATGTCATATTTTTTATAATTAGCTAACTTACCTAACTTCTTTAATCTAATCAAATTAGTTAAGTAGGTCTTATATTAAAGACCGGAGGAGTATATATTATATCTCAATATAATAATAAATATTGAAGGGTAAAATTGTATATCTATATAAAAAGTTTCTCTCAGCACTTTATAAATAAGACAAAAAATGTTTTCTCTCTCTGCTCTATAAATAGAACCAGAGGAATATACTATAATAAATGAAGGGTAAAATAGTATATTCATGCTGAAAATTAATGAAATAAGTTATAAATAACACCAAGAAAAATCTTCTCCCTCTATCTTATAAATAATACCAGAGGAGTCTGTTTATGTCTCAGAATAATTCAGATTCAAATGAGCAAACTTTATGTTTGTTTATAACACAACCCATTTTCTTCTCCTTTTCCCCATATTTCTCGATCCTTCCGCGCAGAAGTTGGTTCTAAAAGTCATGACTATGACGGATGACAAAACAAAGAAAAAAACAATAGAAGCCTTTGCTGATGATGTCTATGGTATTAGGTTTTGAAACCCTTCCAAATTCTCTGAATTATTTAGATTCAGTGTGTAAGGCAAATTCAGTAGTAATAGGCTAAAATAGTTCCATTTAAGTCAATTCATAGAGCCTCTTTCTGAATTAATCTCGCACTGAATCAGAGTTTTCAACCTTAGGATTATTTGTGATAATCTGAGGTTAGTATTATTAGGAGACAGGAATGGATTCGATTATTGCTGATATTGTATAGCAGAAGTTAGCAATGATAGGTCAAATGGACGTAGTGGCAGTGGTGAAGAAGCTGAAGAAAGTGGGAAAAGTGAAGATAATATCAGTGGGACCTAATAAGGAAGAGGAGAAGAAAGAAGAAGAGAAGAAGGAAGAAGAGAAGAAATATGAGGAAAAATGAACATTTGGTCCTAAAAATTCTAGAGAAAATTATGTATGCTATCTTTATTATTTGTTTATTTAACTTATAATTTTTATATTTATGGTTAAGTCTTTGTAATTTAAATAATTTTTAATTTGCTCCTTATTATTATATTTGTTGTTAAGATTTCATTACATTATAACAATATGAATTATACATATTTAAAGTATTAAGATAACAGTAATAAAAAAGTATTATGATAAATAAATTTAAACTTTATAAACTATAATGATTCTCTTACAACTTTTTAAATCATAAGCGTTATAAAATTGAATACAGTTGTGAAGATATAAAATATCATTTCTGTTTGTGTCAATATATATATATATATATATATATATATCATTTCCGTAACTTGGGCATAATGAATTTTTCACTATTGGTTAGTATTTTTTAAATAAATTTTTTATTTCTATAACTTCATTTTAAAAGTCGTTTTAAAATGTGAAATTAGTAGACAAAATTTGCAGGTGAATATTTATAATTTAAATAATTTTAAATTATACTACCTCAGGTCTTTTAACTTTCAATTTAGTTCTAAATATAAAACCTCAATCTACTCTGTCTCTCATATTTATCCACTTTCATCTAAAATAGTTCTTGTAGTAATTGCACATATTAAAAGTTTTACCAAATAGTAATTCTAGTTAATACATATGATTAGTAAAGATATTTTAGGAAAGATAACACCTATTTATTACAAATAGCTAACTTAACTAATTTTTTTAATCTACTTAAATTATTTAATTAGTTTTTATATTAAGTACAGAAAGTAATACAATTCAATGGAAATGAAAGTAAAACTTTAGTTAAATATCCAAAGTTAAGCTTCTGCTAAAAAAATTGGAAAACAGAAGTCCACAGTGATCAGCTTAGTGAGCCCAATCCCATTAATTAGATCCAACGTGATTCCAATTTCCAGCTATGTGAGCCGACAATGATTCAGATATACACTACAAATAGCTTTTGGTATAATAGGAAGTCAGGAACAATCTCCAAGCAATCCTAACAGACAAGACAATAATGGATTTGAGGTCTTACTCTAAATTTGACACTAATTCAGAGTTAATATAACTTTGAGGGAAGGCATTGGAGCCATCCCAAACTGATTTCAAGGAAGGAAAAGCACTTCGAACTCACATTGAATGAAAATAATTATATTTGAAACAATTTTTTCTTACTCACTTTTAGCTGTCAACATTTTCTATACTTGAATTTTTTGAAATCAACTTCTCAGTGTATCATCTAAACAAATCTCTCTCAAATTGACTTTTTTTTATAAGAGCCTATCTAAATATAAATCATATTGCAGTAATTGAATTTTACCGCAACATTAGTTTGCAAAAGTCAGGGAACAAAAGTTACTTTTACCAAGATTAATTCAAATAAGTCCTAAATGAGTTGATTCAGCATATGCAAATATACCTTGGTGCAAAACCTGTGATCTGAATCAGTTGTAGCACGTTCAAAATTTGATATTAATACACGAAAGATAACGGAAGTGCAACCAGACAATCTTGAGGATTGTTGAAAATTAACTGAAGAAGTCTGATCCATAGAGCACATTGAATTGCCTTAAATACCCGTTTGATCCTCTAGTGGTAGAATACACCATCCAAACCCATTTTCAAGATATGGCATTACCAAATCAAACTGGGATCAACACTCAATCTCTTTTATCTGTCTAGTAATACATCAGGCTACTCAAATCAATACTTAACATGAATAAGGAAATAACTGACAGTCTCAGTTTAGCAATCTGAACCAACATCGTATTAACAACCAAGCTGATTGCTTAATTGAAATGAAAATTCAGGATCACAGCCCTTCATCTAAGAAATTTTCCTATTCTGACACATCTAGATTACTTATATGACTATATCGTAACCGATCAAGCCATTTCTACAGCCATTCTGTAATATCCCCAAGGAATATGCGATCTGATCTTGTTCTCACTAGTGACCTGAACCAGATCGCCTGAATAAACGGAAGAAACAGACATAGGTGGTTAATAGACTCCCTCAGTGCCTTAACACAGGGGATAAGACTCCTAAACACGCACATAACGTTTGTGTGAAAAGATGCTAATGGAAGAGTTTTGGCAACGATTTCCACAAACACAACCAATACATCAACAAGCCCGTACCACATCTAGGTAAAAACAAGCAGGAGGTCAAAGTTGCATGTTGCATAGGGAATGGTGCCTTTACCTCTTAGGGATGCTAACCAGTGTAGTTAGAATCCCACGATTCACAATCCGAATTTTGCGATTCGAGATAAAATAGACAATAAAAGATACGAATCTCCTATTGTATCTTTTTGTGGCTTAAATCATACAATTCACATTAGAATTGTGCGATTCACACCAGAATCATACGATTCAAGCAGTGTTGAGTCACACTGGATCTGACTCAACACGCTAAAAAACTTTTTTCATGTTTATTTTTTCTGATTTTTTTGTTATTTATAGGAGGCAATCTGTTGTATGAATGCTCCCTAATGCACTTATCACTTTCAGCTTATCAAATATCAATCAAAACCCTTTTTTTTTTTATTCCCTAATTGATTTTGGAGACTATTTGTCATTGAAATTTGATATGTATTGGCTTTTTTAATTTTTTGTGAGGTGTATAGAACCTAATATCTATAAACTTTTGATGTTCTCTTCTATAAAATTACCTATATATCATCTTTAATAATTGTTCATGAATCTTGCGATTCTTGATAAGTTTCGATTCAAGATTTAAAAAATAGGCTTTCCAATTCACAATTCATATCCCAATTTGATAACCTTGATGCTAACCTTTCAGAGTGAGTTTGTTGCGTTTTGTTAACGACAAAAAATGCTGATCATAAGTCAACTGATCAAAAATTATTTAGCTAACAGATGCACCATCGCAACATCAACTAGCTGGTCTTACAGCCAGCATTTAAACTTGCTGCTCAACAGATACCACATCGTCTGCTGTCCCCAACTTTTACCCTGTTCGTTGTTCAAGTATGTAACAAAGCCTAGCATATCATAAGTCAACTACACAACTGTCATGTGCGGGAAGCACCAGATATTCTATTTCTAAGATCATCACAATACACAGTAAATATAGAACATATGAATCCAAACATTGCTCATTATACTAGCACACGAGCAGGAATCTGGGGCCCCATTTGGTACAAATGGACGGGGGACAAGGGAAGTGAAAGTCAGGATGGAAGCCTAAAAAAATGTATGCTTGGTGCATTTGAAGTTGGCTTCCTCATCAAAATGGTGGACGTTTGCTTCCATTGGGGCGAGGGAAAAAGTGCCCCCTTCCACGGAAAATGACTTTTTCTGACAATTCTAGCCTCTTTAATCTTATTTATTGACAAATTTGCCCTTGCAATCTTTTTTAACCTGATCACTCGTTTTTTTCACTCTGCCATCACCACTTACCCTCTTCTTCAACCTTCAACAGCCACTATCTCGCTACCAGCAAGCTTGTAATGCCATTCTACTCCAGCTTCATACTTCTGTAATAGCGACTTCTTGTTGCAATGATATCTCTCTTGGCAACTTCCAGTAAAGCTTCTCAAATCTTGACCATTGGCCCCGCCTTCTATTTTTCTATTAATTTCCAACAATTAATTAATCAGCAAATCAAAATAAATGGATTCTGATAAGGATGTAAATAATAGTCAGCTTCTCAATATTGTTTAGGAGGAAAACCAAGACCGGACATATCTGGAGGGGGGGGGGAGGGAATGAACCTACTCAGGTTGAAGCATTACAACTACTTAACCTGAAGCATTGCAGCTTTTCATCGGCAGAGACATGAGTTGCAAGACAAAAATCAACTAATGACAAATAATAATGCCCAGGACAAGAATTTACATGGTAACACACGCAAGAAGATACATGTCTACAAACCAGCAAAGGATGATAGAACCAAACAAATGTAAGTTGATACATATTTCATGGACAATATGCTTGACATTTGATGGCAAAAAAAAAAAAAAAACACAAAAAAAGAAGGAACATTTGATTAGCTAGCACTTCTTATATTTATACAGAAAGTCAAGCAGCAAATATTCTCAACAAATGTCTAAGTGTAAATTTTTTACGATGGTGAGCAAGCTGCATATGGAAAATTCATTCCAAAGCTTGAGAGGCAGTGACAAAAATCAAGGTAATTGATTCCCTAGTATGCTGTAATGGAAACATAGACATCAGAGAATTTTATTCGCTCGTAAGCAGTAAAAAGCAGTAATGATGGGATCAGTTTTGTATCTTTAATTATTACATTCGTTAACTAGCCAAAAAACCAGAAGGTAAGGGTTGATTCCCAAAAGTAGCTGAAGATCAAAACTTAATGAAGCAAGACCTTTCTTTCATATATATCTGATGCCAATTTTTAGGGGGGAAAATTCCACATTTCTCTTGAGATGAAGCCAAATTGGGTATTAGCATCAGGAAGAGTATTTGATGGGTACCAAACTCTATTGCCACCACATAAGGAGAGATAAGGGAGTGCCTAAAGGGCAGAAGGGTAGGACCAATGTTTCAGAAAAAAGCACAGATGTTAAGACCAGATAAGACAGACAAGCATATGAGCAGAAGATAGTCATGATGAAAAAGTAGAAGGGAGTAGTTATAAAATTTTTGACAGGGGCATATAAAGAGAAAAGGTACTGGTGGTGAGAGCCAGCCTCTCAAAAGTTGGCAAACGTGCCATATTCTTGAGATTTTAGTTCTGTATTCAAGCCATTTTGTTCATCCTATTTGCTAGTGTTCGGAAACTGCAATCCATACTTCACTCTATCAGTGTCATTTGAAACATCAGTGCTGTTCAGTATTCTGTAGAATTCTCAATAGCCTTTTCATCTTTCTGTGGTTGTTTGAGAATGCTAGTAGGGGAAGTAACTTAGTGTTACTACTGTTTCTTTCATAATCTTGTGTATAGTTGTTCTTCACATAGCACATTTGGCAATCTGTTCAGGGGGAAAATGTCAAGGCCCTCACAACATTTTAGTAATAGGATAAGTTATAGTCAGATCTAACTTCCATTCTAAACAATACGGGGCTTATTGCAGATAGACCAAAGGGTCAGTTGTCACTGTTAGAGATTTGGGACATTAGAATCAAAAGCAAAGATCACAGTAGTAGTTGCAACTTTCCTCAATTTATTTTCCTACACTACCAATGAGCCCAAGATGAAATCCATGAAATGAGAGAGGAAAAAATCTATCATCAGCCTTTCTTCTCATTAGCTTACCTTGGAAACATAAAATTTCAGTAAGACAATCCCAAGACAAGTTATCTGAATAGTGAAAACTAAGTTAGACTACAAATAGAGCCCATCTTTTGATGTCAATACCTGACAAGCTAGATTGCTAAGAAAGTATAAATTTCTCGATATATGTCAATAAACTTACTGCATCTTTTGGCCCGCAATTAACTTCTTGAATCAAGATAACAAATACTCCAAATCCAGTAAATATTCATCGTTTAAATTATATGAAGGAAACTCACATGCTATGTATCACATCACTAAGACTATTAAGGTGATAAAGAGCGCAGCGATAAAATTACTAATTGTACAACTGACATTTGCATGCTTCACACAAGCAGGTGGATGTTATTCCTCCATATCTAATGCAGAATTTTAGTTTGGGATACGGGGTCATCTATTACTTCCAAAAGGTGAAGAGCATCTAGAATATCAAATTAGCTAGTTAACTTCACCATTTTTCTAGAAGACTATCTATGCTTTATCCTGTTAACCCTAACCCTAGTTACAGGAAAACAAAAGTAATCATATTCTAGACAGCTACCCGGCAAGGATCCAAGTTCCATGTTAAATATACACCTCAAACACATTTGAAGGTAATGGTATGGGGAGAAAAGAGAGGCCCAAGGAAAGAATTAATTATTGCACATAATGCAATAGAAGTAAAAGACATTTTATGCATCTTCACCTTGAGAAGTAAGCGGCATCGCAAATGCAGAGGGAATAGTTTCCCCACCTTCTATACCAGCTGAAAAAGAAGCAGGTGAATCATCTCAGTAAACAAGATTTATGAGTTGATGCCCTTGAGTCATCTCCAGTCAGAGAATCTATATCTGGCTATCTCTTGTGCCCTTTGAGCCTTGAAAGTAGATGGGCGTACTTTCCCTTTTCCATCATCTGCTTCATTACTTCATGAGCTTGAGCAAGCTTTTTAGCTTTCCTCAAACTACTTAGTAAGGAGCTGTACACAACAAAATTTGGATTACAACCTTTAGCCTCCATTTCTACGAGCATTGAACATGCTTCATCAAACTTTCCTGCCATACACAATCCATGAATCATAGAATTGTATGTGAATACATTTGGGATTTGTTGTTTAGAAATCATCTCATGGAACATTTCTTGAGCTTTCTCGATCTCACCAGCCACTACATATCCTGTGATCATTACCGTGTAAGCCACCACATCTGGCATGCATCCATTCTTTATCATTTCATCAAAAAAATATTTGCAAGCATCCATGTTCCCAGCTCTGCTGAGTCCATCTATCAATGTGGTGAAATGAAGAACAGTTGGCTCTATACCTGTTTCTCTCATGTGATTTAGGAGATTAAGGGCTGCAAGTGGTTTGTCTCCTTTACCAAGAACGTGAAGAAGAATGTTATAAGTATGAAAATCAGGAGAAAACCCATTTTTACCCATCTCATCAAGCAATATGTTGAACTGATCCAACTTCCCAAGTCTGTACTTGGCATACATGACAATATTATAAGTTAAAATATCTGAGGGAAGACCCTCAAGCAACATCTGTTGATGAACCCACTCAATTAACTTGTACTGCTTTAGATTGAGAAGACAATGGAGGATTGCATTGTAGGAGTGCCTAAAGGGCCTATAGTGAAACATAGTTGATTTTAAGAACCTATCCACCACTTTCTTAGCGAAGCCTAGCTCACCACAAGTACAAATCAAAATGTGAAATGTTCGTGCAGTCGTAGGGATTCCTTTCTCATTCATCTCATCGACTAGCCTCCACATTGCTTTAAACTCTTCGCACTCTGCAAATATCTTCATAATTAAGTGATAGGAATCAGCAGTATGCTGGTAATTCTGCTGCTGACTGCACCAAACAAAAAATTTATGGGCCAATTTTGCATACCGGGTCTTACTTTCACAACTAATATTCTTCAAAATACAAAAGAGAACTTGTCTAACAAGAAGACCTGATGGCCTTACATCCAACTCATTTAAAACCAATCTGGCATCAATTCCAGGACCATCCTGGCGAAGAACTTCATAAACCCGCTCAGCATCTATCTTCACGCTTTCTAAGAATCCCTGTCTAAGTGAAAAATGTTTCGGGTTATTGCTCTCATCCTCATGCGAATTATGACCTCTATTTCCAATGGCATCAAAATCCGATTGATTCCACATTCTCCTCAACGGTTCCTCGACAAAATCAAATCCACTTTCAACACGGTCACCATCAAATGGCTGGTCACAAAGCTTGCGAGAAATAGCCAAACAATATGAAAACTTGTGGACTATCCTTGGACCTACTAGGGCTAAAGAAAACATGGTCTAAACCCATCATATCTACAGCTCTGCAACACGCGGAAAACACAACTTGCCCAATAATAAAATCGCATTTATAAGTACTGCCACTCTCAAAATCATTACGCCGGAAAAAGAATCCCGGCCGCACAAACTAATTTGAATCTACTAATTCAATTGTACAGTTCGAACAAGAAATGAAAATAGTAGTAAAATAGAAAGAGGAGAGGAAGTCAACAAGTCTGACACGGAAGAATAGGTGTGATTCTCGACAATACGACACTGAGGTCGCCGTCGACGGGAGCTTTTATCGGCGCTGGGCAGCGCAAGAGCAAAGTCTTTAGTTAGGTTTATCCTAAAACAAGGTCCTGAACATGCCGCGGTGATCCGAACCCGGTTAAAGGTGTCCAAGTTTGGGATTCTCCTTCTCGGCATTCAAGTAGGCCTAAAAAATAAAAAGCATTCTTACGATCAATACTACGTTTACGAGTAATATAAAATTTAATAGTTAAATTAATTATTTATAATAATTTTTTTTTAAAAAATATCTTTACTAATCGTTTGTATTAGCTAAAAATCTAAAACTACTATTAGCTAAAATATTTAATATGTACAACTATTATAATAATTATTTTTAAAAAAAGATAAATATCAAAAACAAATATACAATCAAATTAAAAGTCAAAACAAACTCTTATATTAAAAATCGAAAGCAAAAATATAATTTTTATAAAAGTAAAATCCATCAACGTCTCCTCTATTTAATCTAAATTATAGAGACTTTTTATTTATTTTGAAAACCTATATGAATCTTTTTTAAAATCAAAATATATATTGCACAAACCTTCTTTCTAGTTTTGAGATTAAACTTCTATTCACCCAACTATTAGTTGACTATTAAATCATAAGATCGACTCATTATTTTGACTAAAATACCCCTTCACAACGTGAATATTACTTAATAATTATTATTTAATCACATATAATATATCTTTATCTAAAATTAAAAATAATTTTAATACATTTTTAATGTTTTGTGTTACACTATTAGAAGGATTACCATATTATAAATTTAATTAATTTTATAAATGCAAATTTCTATTTTATGGTAAATTTAAATGTTTAATTTTATTTATTTGTTATCAATTGTGTGATGCAATTTTTTAAATATATAGATTAGCTGATGTTATGAATATAATAATGTATTTGTAAATGTTCATATCTCTTCCATTATCATCAATATATTATTTTATCTCCATAATTCACAATTACTACTTCTAATCTTAATTATAAGACTTTGTTTATAAATTACAAACAAGATCTTATAATTAGAATCGGAGATAATATCTATTATCATGTAATTTGTAAATTCTACTAAAGTTGTAAAGTTGTGCCTATAAATAAAGGGTATATATATCATATATTTAGGATCTTAATTGAATGAGAAATACTCTTATATTCTTTTTTTTTCCTCTACTCTTTCTTTAGCTGAAAATATTTTGTAATTATATATACATATTTTCAATTAAATTATAAAGTTATGTCTTAATATAGCAAATTTAGTAAAAATAAATTAAATAGATTATTAATAAAATATAATATTAAAAGATAAATTAGGGATTTAATATAATGAGGGGTAAAGTGGTAAACAAGATTTAT